CCCAGGTCGTGCTCCTTGTGATACTTCAAGTTCAGTTCCTGTCTTAGTTTAAGATCATGTAGCTGATTTTGTGACTTATAAGATCTCTGCCTTTAAATTAACCTTGTACATATAATCTTCCTTCTGTTAATTAATTCCTGTTGCAAGTCTTGTATTTGTGGTTGAGGTGGCTGTGGCAGAGGCTAAAACACATCCAGTTCTCCGACTCTCGGTGAGGTAAAACACATCAACTCTTACTTTTTTCTTTATGATGAGTTGATGTGTTTAATACTTATGTTTGATGTTTTGTTTTAGTAGTTTACGTTTGCCTTGTTGTTGGTCTTGTTCTTGGTCTCTTTTAGTTGTTGTGACTTGTGATTGTGTTGTTTCTCCCTGGCCTGAGTAAATTATGATCGTTTTCAGAACCCTCGTCGCGTAATGAGAGGCCCTGTGTTTACTGTTGGGCAAAGAAGATGTGATTTATGGTTCGTACTAAAATTATGCAAGTGTCTGAATAAAAGTTTTGTATGCTTGTGTGTTAGGAGTCACGGGTGTGTTAGAAGTTTTGTATTCTTGTGTAGTATTCAATCACAGACTGTTATTTCATTTGTGTACTATCAATCATGTTTGTATATAATAAAATTTGTATTCAAAGACCATGAAAGTCTTCTATTTCAGTCACAGACCATATCGAAGTATTAATTATTGTTAAAGTTTCTATATAAACTTCACAACACTCTTGTTTGATTTCTTGTAACTAAAACAAGCTATCTCTCTCATAACTTCACTCCACAAAATCCATACCACTCTTATTTGCTCTCTCTCTCTCTCGTAACTTCACTACACAAGTCCAACCCACTCTTGTTTGGTCTTCTCTTTCATAACTTCACCATTCACTTTTTTTATTCAGAACACTCTTGTTCATTTTTCTTTTTTAAAAAGAAAATTTTAAACAATTGCTACACATATATTGCATTTTCTTCTCAAAACACTTTTGAGGGATCACTTATTAATATAAGTATTTTCCTTGATTTTATGTTTGTGCGCAATTCAAAATTATGTCATCATTCACCTTTTTTTTTACGATTAATAAAAATATATATTACAGACGACTTATATGTACTTTTGTCAACTAGTTTCACATAAGTGAGAATGGTCAATTCTAGAAATTACGAGTCCCCACAGAAATATACCAATCACGAAAGTCAATTTTACTCATTTGAAAATATATAAAAATAAAAGAAATGCGATTCACGTGGGATGGAAAAAAAAACATACCCCCTTCATTTTTTATAAGGTGTTTTAGTTAATTACAAGGAGATTAAAATATTTATCTTTTTAAAAAATTATCTTTAATAATATATTTTTAAAATCATTCAATCAATTATAAAATAGATTGGAAAATTTTATTGACTGAACAGTTTCAAATAAAGTTAAAATTAATTTTAAAATATTAAAATATACCTTAAAATCTCAAAATATCTTATATTTTGAAACAATATAAACCTTCTAAAACATTTTATAAAAAGAAAGTGAGGGAATAGATGCATGTTTGATGGTTAATTAAGGATCACATGTGTATTGAATATTTCGGACCTGTGCATGCAATAAAAATCTCTCTATTTCTTACATTTTAATTTTTCCTTACGTTAAATTTTTTAAAAAATATTTGGAACGGCTTTATGTAAGAGATATGAAGATCTCCTCAATCTGATTCAAATGATTTTTCTTTTTTTTTTTTTTTACAACAAACACCATATTTCATTAGACTGGTTCAAGAGAATTCAGAAAAATTTCGTGCGAACTTCTTTGGCAAGAAGATCGGCACAAAATTTAAACTCGCGATGAATAAAAAATAATGAAAAAAGCGTAAACAAAGAACGAATATGAAAGAATTCATCCAATTCTGAAGCAAAGATGGCCAAAACTCTTCTTCTTCGATCAGCTTCACCATCTGCAGGCAGTCTGATTCGAAATGCATAGTATCATGCCTCATACTGAGAGATGAATCCATTGCCCAGAGAGCAAAGACTTGTGAGTCTTAAGTTACAAAAAAAAAACGACTTGTGAGACTTGTAATTGCATTACTTGAATGATTTATTTTAAATCTATGGTTTCTAGGTTCTGTATCTCATGAAGCTGTTTTAAAGCACCCATCAAATCCACATTCATACCAATGGTATATTCCTCCATCAAGTTCACCTCGACATTAAATGATACCAAATGTGTGATCCATGCAGATGCGTGTTTCAGAATACCGAGATTGATGAAAGAGGAAACTCTCAAAGTTGCTGGCCTTGAGTTGTTTTTCACACAACTTGATTTTTTTTTGTAAACAAAGATTTGTATCAAATGTCCAAAAAAATTAGCAAAAGCATGTGTATGAGTTAGACCATGATTAACCATAATTTCTTAATTGAGGGTTCTTAGAGCAACTCCAACGAGAATCCTTAGGGGAGAGTCTTTAGAAAAAAATAATAATTAAATAATCAGTAGATCCCACAAAAGTTAAGGATTCGATTCTTAAAATCCCTAAATAAAAACGGTTTCTTAGCGAATACTTGCACTATTTATGGGTCCACATGATACGTGGCAACCCGCAATTGGTTGATATTTTTATTTTTATTTTTTGCAAAAAAAAAATCTGAAAAATAGAAAAAAAAATAATAATTAAAAAGTTTTAAAAATACTTTTTTAAGGACCGTTGGAGATACTCTTAGTTTCGGTTAAGAGACGAATCTTAGTTTTTTTAGATTTTAATTAAGAAAAACTAAAAACTGTCTCAAGAGATTTAAAAATCGTTTCTTAGCCAAAAAGTATAAAAAAGAATGTCAAATCTTAAATTAAAAAACTCAGTTAAGAGACTAATCATCTGACAAAATCTTAATTGAAAAGTATATGGCAATGAGGGATTTAGTGTGAAAAGCCTATTAACTCGTAACCCAAAAAAGAAAGCCCATTAACTTTAGCTTTTGAAGGATGATGATCAGGGTAGTAATTTAGTGTGAAAAAACATTTAAACTTCCCGGGAACCATAAACGAATCAGAGCTGGCCACCTGTCACCGCAAACTCCTCCCTCGTCACGGGGGAGAATCTCGACTACTTACTTATATATTCTCCCGCCGTTCCAAGACGCGGCGGTTCTCGACATCGCAATGTTTGAAAAACGTGGAAGAAGAAGGAGAAGGAAGAAAAGTTACGAAATTGAGTGGATTCTTCTCGCTCTCAGACCATTGGAGCCCGGAAGTATCTTCCTTTCACGAGAATGGTTTCTCTCAGATCAGTAAAGAAACCACGGGAAGAGCTCTACACGCGCTATGTGTCAAAGGATTGGTTCGTACGAGTGTTCTACACATCAACACTTTGATCAACATGTACACAAAGTTCGGCCGAGTCAAACCCGCACGCCACCTGTTCGACGAAATGCCTGTGAGAAACGAGGCTTCTTGGAACACAATGATGTCGGGGCTTGTACGCGTTGGATTGTACCGGGAAGGGGTTGGGTTTTTCAAGGAGATGTGTGGTCTTGGTGTTAGGCCAAGTGGGTTTGTGATTGCTAGTTTGGTGACAGCTTGTGGTAGGGGAGGCTTTATGTTTAGTGAAGGGGTTCAAGTTCATGGCTTTGTGGTTAAGTATGGTTTGATGTCTGATGTTTACGTGAGTACTGCTGTTTTGCATCTGTATGGGGTTTATGGGTTGGTTTCGTGTTCAAGGAAAGTGTTTGAG